TCGTTCTTTTTTTTTTTTGGGGGTTAATTTTTTTGTTTTTTTTTTTTTTTTTATTTTTGGTTTTTTTTTATTTAATTTAATTTTTGGGGCAATACCCCCCCCCCCCCCCCCCCCCCCCCTACCAATCCAAAACAGAAACGGACCGCAAACAACCGTTCCCCTCTCGATATATTTCACTGATCCACGTGAGGCTCCGAACAATCTCGGCTTGTCAACGTCGTTCGGCAGAGGCTGTCGGACTTGGTCATTGATTGAAGGGTATGGCCCGATAGGCTTGCAACTAAGTCTGCTAGCTTGAACGCTTCTCGTCCATCTTCTCGTCCCTCACTTCGATCACTCCAACGACCTCGACAGACTTCTTTTCAGACGATGAAAGCGACCCAGACCTCTTCCCAGCAGAGGGGTACCTTACCAATAAATCATCCATCACAGGCTCGGCAACTCTGAGTCCCTCTTTCCTCACCTCCCTCCCAACCACCGGGACCCCCCACAACCCCTCCTCCCACCCCCGAACGCCCGTATCCTCGAGCGCCATGCGCAGCAGCTGGAACCGATCGTCCGCCCTCCTTGCCGTGTCCTTCCTCGCCGCCGCCGCAGACAGCATGCCCCTCCTCCGCCTCCTATCTCTGTGCGCCTCGACGCAGCACGGCACCGTCATGCCGAGCACCACGACGGCGACGCCCACGACCACCACCAGCGCCGTGCCCAGCACGCTGAAGTTCTGCATGGGCTCCTCGGACCGCACCAGCTGGCTCCTGCAGAGCGCCCCGAACTCGTCCATCAGCCCCAGCGACCGGTACTGCGCGTCCAGCGCCGTCGAGTTGATGTACGAACCGGCGGGCGGCTGGGCCGATGCCCACGGCTTGTGTGCCCATTCGAGGGCCGCGTTCTGCATCGCTGTTAGGGTCGTCGCGAACCAGAGGGATACTTCGATGGTCCACTGGTTGTCTGGGAGGTCGTGGCCTTCGGCTTCGGGTCCGAGCTCGGAGGCGAGGAGGCCTAGGGGGTACGAGTGTAAGTTATGTATATTGCATGTATGTATGGTGAGGATGGGGGCGTCGACTACAGCAGAGAAATGGGGTTGGATGGTTTACGCAGGAGGAAAAAAAGGGAAAAGAAAAAAAAAAAAAATTTGGATTGGATAGAAGAGGCTTACCAAAGGGTCCCTGGCCCGCCATCTGACCTAACTGCGCACCCAGCCAGGAGAGCCGCTCGAGGCGCCAAGCCGTGGCCCGCTGGGTGGGGTTGAAGCCCAGGTCCTGCTGGTCGAACAGCGCGAGGTCCATGGTCCCGGAGACGGCGCCGCACCGGCCGTTGGTCGGGTTGCAGATCTGGAACGAGTCGTGACACACCAGCAGGCCGAAGAGGTTGGTCGGCATGAAGCGGCGGACCTCGAAGTCGGCGTCCCACACCTCGCGGGTCGCGTAGAAGAGCGGGTCGTACACGGGCCTGAGGTACTTGATCTGGTTCGACGAGACCAGGTACGCCCCGATGTCCGCGTCGGTGCGGTTGAAGGCCGCGATGGGCGACTTCCCCGTGCCCCATGCCGTGTTTCTGTCGTGGGCTTTGAAGAAGGTGCGCCTCATCGCATGCCAGCGTTAATAGTCATGGTAGAAAGTTCGGTTTTTCGAGTGAGAGCACAGCCATGAGAAAGAAGGCGGGACTCACATGATCTGATACGCAAACCCGTCATACCGCGCGTTCACATTGAACCTCATGGTCGAATTTGGGGCTCCCTCACGTCCGCCGGTGGTTATATTCAGCGCAACATAGGTGTGGTTCACGGGCACGCCATCGCTCTCCTCGACCTCCCAGAACGGCTCCGAGGTGAAGTTTGTCGCGTCCACGACCCCGCACGTCGCCAGCTTCCGCCACGCGACCCGATCCTCGGGCTTCGCGTTCATGCCGAAGTGCGCGTGGCTGTCCAGCCAGCCGCTATCCATGGTCCAGGCCGGCCCCGTCGTCATGTTGGGGCCCAGGCACCGCGTCGTCCCGTCGGCGTCGAATGGGCAGGGGGACTCGGCGCCCTCAAAGGGCAGCGTCGCGCGGGGAAACTCCGCGTTGAACCGCGGACTACTGGTGTTGCTATAGTGGGCAAGTGCGTAGCTGCGGGCGAACTTGAACCAGTCCATGTCGGCCAAGATCTGGGCGTCCATCATCTCGGCGCGGTCGGGCGCGTGCAGGTCCTGGTTCCAGATGAAGTGCAGGTCGCCGCACGCGAGCGGCACGACGGGCACGAGCACGTCCTGGTACGTCTTGGACGCCACATCGGCGACGAAGATGCCCGCCGCGGCGAACAGCAGGCCCACGGTCGCGAAAAGCAACACAAGCGGCAGGATCCTCCGCCCGGCCCGCACGTGGGGCACCCTCCGGCTCCAGGCGGCGTGCAGCTCGACGGACTCGACGACGGCGTCAGCGACGGAGCCCGGGCCCCGCAACATCAGCTGCAGCTGCTGGTCGAGCACGTCCTTGTTCTCCTTGGCCGCGAACCGCTGGTGCAAGTAGAAGGAGCAGAGCTTCCATGCGTTGGCCGCCGCCCAGGCCACGAGCGAGGACAACGCCGCGATGAGGTAATTGCCCCATCGGATCGGGACTGTCAGCGTCGCGCCGAGCGCCGCCGAGTCGCTGTGCTCGACCCAGAAGCCGGTGTAGACGGAGTAGTTCGACATGTTGGGTGTGTTGTTTGCGTTTGGGGGAACTGGAGCGAACTTTGAGTTGATTATCACGAATCTGACAGCCCCTATCTATATAATTACATCTCCGTCCACAGAGATGCTTCATGAACAAGCCAGACCTCCTCCTGGCGTCGCACGGCCTCTCAGCGTGGTAGCAGCATATTAACCGGTGAACTCGTATATTAACTTTGTTCATCCTTCCCGCCTTCGGCAATCCACAGTATGCACCTGTCAGCTTTCCCGTCGCACAAACCAACCGGATTTTCTTGGCAACCCCCTACCAATGCCGTGGACCCCGCCCACGCGCGCATAGGGCCGAAGACTTGGAATGCGACGAATAACTATGGAAGTCAAGCATGTATGAGGCGAAGCCAAATACCCGCGGCGTGCTGCATGCGTGATTGTGACCTTCGCCAATAAAAAGTTAAACAGCGATTAGCAAGGAGGTAACACCAGCCCCAGCCCCCCGGCGCAACCTGTGCCGCGAGGCAGGGGTTTCTTCTTCTCTTCCCCAGCTGTATGCCCCTGCCTCTCCGGGATGGTTGGCAGTGAAGCGGGTAGCCACGCCGCTTAGTGTGTTTAGATGCAGTCACAGCCTCAACGGGTGGTACTTTTAGGCAAGTGCCGATGCCCTGCCGATTGCTGAGTGGATGGACGTGTGTAGATGATGCCATGATCGTGCCGATCCAAAGCCAAGGACCTTGCGTAAGGAGAGACAAGCAGGCAGCGGGGTTACACGGCAGCAAGGGAGAACAGGTAATTATACCTGGGCAGATACAAGTGACTTCGCGGATCTCCGAGACAATTCACCTATATTTGGTGTCTGAGGGTGTAACCGGGAACGTTGAGCACCTTCTGGGGGCGCTTCGGGTAGAGCCGTTCTGCCTTGTTCGGGACCGAGACGGCCAGGCACGTCGCCAAGCGATCGGATCGAGTTATATCTTTGGATGCAAAGTGGAGAAAGTGGTTATTAGGCTAGGCAATTCCCTTCGGTGAGCTGAGCCCAGGGGTTCTTATCCATATTATTGGACATTGAGTTGGGGGCGTTAAATGTAGGAGCAAGACCGCCGCCCGGTTTCAATTCCCCCCCACCACCCCCCACACCTGTGGCCTGCGTCTAGTGCTGGGTTGTAGTCCCAAGCCAGGAAACTATTCAAGTCCTACGATGCGCCATTATCGCACCAGGGTGATCTGACATTCTATCGATGGAAACAGGAAATAATCGCCTGCGCTCGCATGCCCATTCCGTCATCGATGAATCCGAAATTCGGGATGATTAATTTATTCCATTTGCAACTCCCATTTGTTCTATCTTTCCGTCATGCCGTTATGCCCCCTTTCCCGCCCACCAGGATATTACCCTGCAGCTTCCAAGTTCCACGGAGCTTGACGGTCTAGACTACTCGGGATTGGAGGTGATAACCCCCGTTATAGGCAGCCCAGGGTAATGAAATAATTATAGGAGACACGTGAAGATCTAGGCCATGGCCCACAGAACTCTAAATATCTAATTAGATGGCAAATAGCCTAGCTGAGGAATTTCTCGAGGACAAAGTGCAAAGTCTAGAAGTCAGGTATCAGCTCCAAGGCAAGATGGACAAACCACAGTGGCCGAAAGCTAGTGAAGGGGAGGAGACAAAAGACGACAACCTTATCATCTAGCAGTGCCGCCAGTTCAACGCATCTGGACAACTCGCCGCAGCTCTCTAGGAAGAGCAAGAAGAGGAACTCTCGCCTAAGCTAGAGCAGGAACGCAAGTTTGCGTGTCCCTTAATCCAGCGTTTGCAAAGGCGTTCTACAGGTAGGGTTTGTGCGGGATCCAGACAGGTATGATCTCTTTTCTGTTACCCAAGGTAGGCAGCTAGGCGGGGATGAGTCTAACTCCTTTATGCAAGGTAGTTATTTGGCGTAGGTTTTGACTGGGAGGGAAGCGCAGACAGAATCACTAGCAATTTGGATAGAGTATTGTCGTTAGATTTCTTGTAGTCAGAACTTCAATTAAAGAAGCTACCTCAAACTTCAAGCCGCAGCCGGCTTCTGGGCCCAAGCCACGTTGGCGCGGTAGTAGGCGTGCAGCTTATTGCTGCGCAGCTCGCGACGTAGATGGGCGGCGTACACAGCGACCTCTTCCCGAGACCAGCCTAGCTGGCTAGCTGAAAACCCGACCGAGCCCTCGGTGTCATTCACAATAGCGGCTCGCGTGTACAGGCCTATTTCCCGCTGCTTCGGGTCCTTGTCCCAGCCGGAGGTTGGGAGCTTGTGGATAGTCATGTCAGCGTAACTCTCCGCCTATCCGGGCCAAGCAGAGGGAGGAAGCACACCTTGATAAGCCTTCCCTGGACATTGACGAAGCCCGCCTCCTTCAGCGACTTCCTCTGCACTTCGTCGTGGACCACGCTGAAAGACGCGGTGGAGCCTAACTTCTTGGCACCTTCGCGAAAGAGGACACCCCACTGTGCCAAGGCCGACTTCTCAGGAAGCGTGTCATCATCCGACTCGAAGAAGCCGTTGCACTCGAATGACTCGATCCAACCACCCGGCTTAAGCGTCTTGTACGCCTGCTGGAACAGCGCCGTCCAGTCTGTCACGCAGCCGATTAGCCACCGCATGTGCACGTAATCGAGCGACCCCTCCGGAAATGTCCACTCCTGTGTGAAGTCGTCGATCTGGCTATAATTACACGAAATGAAGATCAGTCGCTGTCGGATGGATGGCGGAAACATAATTACCAGCGAGGTCGATCCTTACAAGTGCACGTTGGGCGGGACCCAGCTTGGCTGAATGGGCGACAGGTCAGTGCCGATGACCTCGGTGTCGGGGTACTGCTCTCCAAAGTCACTGTGCGCGTTCATTGTTCAGCCTGCGTTTCGTTGTGAGGAGTACGCAGGAGCGGGAAGCATACATGGCCCAGATGCCCGTTCCAGTTCCAATGTCAACCGCTTTCTTGATCGGCTGTCAGCCCCTTATTCCAACGCACTTCCTAGTTCCGACCTACCTCCATCTCATCCGGTAGGGGAGCGAAGTGGAGCTTGCCGTCCTGGGCGAGCGTAAAAACGTGGTGTCTCGTCCATGTTAGTACCGTACGAGGGATCCTATCACAGTGTCCAGTCTTACTGGATGTCCAATGTCTCGTTTTGTGGAACGTCGTTCGAGCCCCTTTTGCACTATAAGCTGTTGGGTCTTTGTAATCATCCCCAGGCCCTAGCAGCTACCTACCAGTACTGGTTGGTTCCACGGTCGCTGTGGTAGGTCCGCCCGTTTATCGTCCGGTACTGCAGGATGCTGGACGAGACAGAAGCCGTCGAGCTGGCCGCATCGTCGCCTAGTGCCGAGTCGGCGTCGTCGTCCTACAGCGTTGACGGTAAGCAGGGATGTCGCACTTCCACCAGGGGCTTGAAACCACAGCGCGGGATGTCCGCCCACCTCGGGTAGTGGCTGCTCGGTCCAGTGCAGCGGCGGCTGGAGCTGGACCTCGTAGTCGCCCGCCGCGGGCGCAGCAGTTTGTGGTTTCGACATCTTGGTGGCTCTAGGAACAGAGGGACAAGCTAGGCGACAAACGCACTGGGCGGTTACATGGGCGCAAAGAAGGAGGGGAGAGGAAAACACGAAACGCAGAAAAAAAAGGGACACGACAAAATGAAAATTCCAACCAACATGTCTCGTCAGGCCCGATGCATAATTACTTCAACGTCAATAATCACCTGAGGCCTTGCAAGACGTTGCAACGGCTCATTGGTCACTGCAACATAAACCGGCAACCGGATGCCCCTCCGCGGGGTTGAGGGGGCGCATCAGGTGTCCTCTAGCGTCGCCCCCACGGCCCCGTTCGGCGCTAAGCTACAGACACAGGGGGTGCCCCGCCCGCCAAGGGCCCTAATCCGCAGCGGCCCGTTCACGCCTTTGGACCAATCACAGCTCTAAGGATTCTACCCTCGTTTTGGTAACTCGCCGCTAGCGACGTCAGTTGGTTGTCGCCCAACGCAGGACACCCAGATGGATATGTCCTCTTCACCAGTGCAACATAAACAATGTTCGTTCATGTCGCTCCAGTTCATGCTGTTCAGGGTTCTTCCGGGCTGATTCACGCGGTGGTGCCCCAGTCTCAAATTCCCAAAGCTACTGAAGTATCTAGAAGTGGAATTCCTTGCTTCCTGGGCAATGGTTGGAGGAACATCTCAATGAGGTTTGTCCTTCCCACCGTTAACCATCCTCGATTTTCTTCGCTGCTTTAGTCACAGATATGTTCGTGACAAATTATGACACATCCGATTCTTTTCGTGAGGCGATTTGTACAATACATCAAGGTAAAAACGGGCATCAACTACCAAGCTTGGTAGGGCAATTTGGTCAGATCTCGAATTTTGCCCATGCAGGATGAAGTTCCGCTCTTCCCGTCCAATGACCAGACTGTCTTCTTGCATGCCCAACAACACCCCATGTTTCCCCATGAGCAACTCATCCCACGCTCCACGCTGCTACTTTTACAATCCTTAGATTTCCCCCGCACCCCCTCCCCGTGGTTTCCGCCTTCTTCTACTCACGGCGCCATCACGGCTCCTCGCTTGATCCTCCCTCAGTGCCCTCTGTAATCAGTCAAAGCTGTGACCGGATTAATTGTTGTGCTCCAGTCAACCAGGTCAAGACTCCCGTCCCCAACCATGGCCGACCAGCGAACGCCAAAGGCCGCTACCAGTGACACAAACCAAGGCGCCCTCGCAGAATCTGGGGAACCATTGAGTGTAGCGCCAGCCAATCCTCCCCAGGAAGAGCTGATTCCTGCTCTATTACCTGAAGTAGGTGCATTATAAGACCTGACCAGACCAACAAACCAGACGTCCAATGCATGGAAGGTTGTGTGAAATGGCAAACCGGTCCACTTGTGAGCTAATGATTATTGACTGTCGGATGACATGTAGGACGATGCCGATGATGAGGATAACGATTCGTCTCTTGGAGTTGAGGACGCGCAAGTACCCCATGTGTTGATTTTTTGTTTTCTTTGCTTTTCTTTTGGTGCAATAAGAGCTGACATTTCCCCCTCTCCCCCTGCAGTACAAGCTCGACTGCATCTGTCGCGTCAAGCATCCTCAACTACCGAACTATCCAGGGCCGAACTTTCCATAGCGAGAAATACGACACTGGTTATTTCACGCCCATCGATGACCAGCAGCAGGAATCTGTTGACATCACGTACGTTGTACAGAGATAGAAGGTCTCCAATCCTTGATGCATTCGCTAATTCGTCGCTAGACACCACTATCTCTCGCTTATCCTAGACGGCAAGCTCTATCTTGCGCCTATTAAGGATGGGGTTCAGGTTAGAACACCTTTCCTCGTTGATAGTGGGCAAGCTTCTAATATTACTCCCATCCATATAGAAAGTCCTCGACGTGGGCACTGGGACAGGAATATGGGCAATGTAAGCGACAGGCCATGGCCGCGGCACCTCTTTCCCCTCCTCTCCCTCCACCTACCTTTTTTCTTCTTCTTCTTCTCCTCGTTTTTCTCTCCTTTTTCTCTTCGGATCCGATGCTAAAACTTCTAGTGACTTTGCGGACCAATTTCCCAACGCCGAAGTCATCGGCACTGACCTATCGCCCATCCAACCTACCTGGGTTCCGCCAAACCTGAAGTTCGAGCTTGACGACGCAACGCAGGCCTGGAGCTGGGTGGATAACACGTTCGACTTTATCCACATGCGGTATCTGTTCGGCGCCATTTCAGACTGGGACAAACTCCTCGCCGAAGCGTACCGCTGCTGTAAGCCTGGCGGCTGGGTCCAATCCTGTGAGATTGATGCCTCGTTTGTCAGTGACGACGGTACAGTGGACAAAGTCCCTGGGCTAGAATTGTTCAACAAGCTGTACCAAGAGAGTGGGAAAAAGTGTGGCCGCAGCTTTTGTGTTGTTGCCGAAGATCTACAGAGAAAGTCGACGGAGGCCGCGGGTTTCACCGACATCCAAACTGTGAACTACAAGGTTTGACGTCCCCGGGCGGCTGGTATACGCTTGATGCCATTACTTACATCTACCCTTACAGATCCCAATTGGTGGCTGGGCCCAGAACCAAAAGCTTCGTGAGGTTGGGCAGTTTTCCAAGTTGACACTTGAGAATGATATTGAAGGTTGGTTGATTTCTCTACATGCAACATCTTTCAAAAGCCATGTCATCCCCCTTCTTCAGATTCCTCGCTAGGTTTTAAATTATATTGCTAATCGTCACCAGGATATACGCTGCTGCTGTGGCATAACGTCATGGGTTGGCCCAAGGAAGAGTATCAGATCTTCCTGTTCAATGTTCGAAAAGCCTTGAAGAACAAGCGTGTCCATGGGTATATGAAGCTACGCTTTGTTTATGGGCGCAAGCCATAGATTGGCAGTACACTATAAACTTATAGGTCCTGAGCTAGAATGAGTTTGGAAGGATGGAGGACTTCTAGTCGGCATTTTGTTGCCGCCGTCTGTTGCGAATTTTTCTCTTTGGCTCTGATACGAACTAGGATTCTTGAATCACGGGATTCTCCAGCAAAAATGGACTTCGAGCTGGTGTTATTTAAATGCTACCGAACTCGAGATCCTCCGGTTTTGCTGGGACAACTTCTGTGCCGTGTTTGAACTCCTCTCCTGTGACTGTGCAGGCAAGCGTCTGATTGTTCTTACATCGCCCCTAGAGTGTGATGTAGGCAATGCGGAGAGAAGAACCTGTGCAGGACTAGAAAAATTGTACGCAGTGTGATATCTATTTACTTAGTCAAAGTACCTACCACACCTAGGCACTAATAATCTAACCTCCAAGACCTTTTTAAACCAATGAAATATCAGTCTATTTGACAGCGTGGTAGACTAGGCCGCGCTATCATGATATCTGCCGCTAGAAGGCGCTTTTTGAAAGCCCTCTCGATTTCGTCGAGCGACTTGCCCTTAGTCTCCACCATGTAAAAGAAGCTGACGATGGTACCAACGGCTGTGCATCTGCCGAACAAGAGGTAGGCGCTTGGTGCACTCTTGGCCAGAAAGATAGGGCAAATGAATGCCATAATGAAGTTGCAGACCCAGTTAAAGCCTGTGTGCCCATTTTACCAGGGTTAAGTAGGAGCACATGGTACGGATTGAGAAGGTTGGGGAGAGGGGGCAAGAGTAAAAAAGTGGACTTACCGACGCAAGGCTCGTGGCCTGTGCCCGCGTGTGCTGGGTTTGTATCTCGGGAGCCCAAACCTTGATGCTGATAGCCCATGTCGTGGCCTGGATAACACAGTAGATGTAAATTGTAACAATGACCACCTAGCAGCCTGCACCGCTGTTTGCTTGGACTTGCTGGCCAGCGTAGAGTCCACTGATTAGGACCATGGTAGCGGTGAGACCAAGTCCGCCCACGAGTGTACTCGTTCTCCGACCCCATTTGTCAGCGTAGAGTGTGGCCAGAATACCTGTCACGAGAATGACAATAGCAGACACTCCTGAGGCCTACGCGGAAAGAATGTACAGTCAGCGCCCCTGGTTGGTTTCTTTCTTTCTTTTTCTCCTTTGGCTGTTGGCTATAACAGCGAACACCTACCAAGAACGAGGCCTCTTGAGATTTGAGGCCTGCTTGCTGAAATATCATAGGGGCATACTGAATAAGATCTGTTAGTCAGTATTCCGACACTTGAAACACCTTTGGAAGCTTGACCTACCTAGAGGACGGCATCGATTTCACGAAGCTGTAAGAAACCCATCAGAAAGACGGCGGGGAAGGCTTGCTTCCGCACATTTCTCTTCCACAGGTCACGGAAACCCGCGTGCTTCTTAGTCTTTGCTTCCGGCTGGGTGGGGTCCTGGATGGCAAAAGCCGAACCCTGGATGGGGGCATCTTCAGGTTCTACTTCGCGGTCCTCGCGTTTGACCCCCAGGAGATCCCAGACCCTCTCCGCATCAGATGTGCGACCGCGCCGCACCAGCCAGCGTGGAGACTCGGGCAGCAGGAACAAGTTGGTCAGGGTATATGCAGCAGCTATGCAGGCCATGATGATGTACGGAAGGCGCTACGACAGGGAGCTAGGGATGCCGACCGTGGCATAGCTCACAAATTAGCCCACAACCAAGGCCGGACAAGTCCTAAGCTGCAGGAAGGCAGTGAGGGGGTGGCATGGATGCGCAAACTGAACTTTTAGGTTCCCACCCCCCGAAATGTCACGTTTTGATCAACATACACGCGTGTAACATTCCTGTTTATGTACTTTGCCAGCGTCGTCATCGGGTGGCCCATCTCTTTGCTTTCGGCAAGGTTTGACATAATAATTACATACAATTATATTATACTGCATACTACATATGCTTGGCAGAGCAAGGGGCAGAGGGGCATGCTAATAAGAGGAATCTCTTTTTCATAGGAACCCAAGACGTGTGATTACTTGCTCGCCTTGACTCCGGCAGAAGGAAAAGAACTAATTAGTTCCACCACTAGCCTAGGTAATCATATCAATGTGATATCACGGAACTCGACATCCTCCCAGTCGACCATTGACGACTTCCCGTCGACATTGCCCGTCCAGTCCCAGAACCTCCCTACCCTCCTAAAGGATTCACTGGCATCACACGGGAGGACCACAAGCCCACCGTCCCCTCGCTGCACCCGATCGGTACCCACGAGATTCCACCGCGAAGCAGACTTGAGCCACAAAAGACACAGCCGAGCCTCCTCATCAGGGGACAAGCGATAATCACACTCGCGAACCACGGCGGCGCGGTCGGCGACGGAGCCAATGGGCACCATCCTCGCGCGGAGGGTGACAGACCCGCCTAAGACACGACCGAACGGCGCGTCGGCGTCAACGAGCCGTATTGAATGGCTGATGAGGCTCGCGGTGGCTGCGTCGCCGTCATCGGACCCGGCAAGACTTAGGCGGTGGCGCAGGTTGTTGGTGACGAAGTTGGCGCCCTGCCGAGGACTGTCCATCTCGTGGTCCAGGACCGAGATCCACGACCAGCTGGGCGATTGGTGCTTCCCGAGGTCGAGCTTGCGGCCCAGTGCCGCGCACCCGCTCCGCCACATGAGGTCGTCAATGATCTGGGACTTCCACAGGCCCGCGAGATAGACGTCCGACCCCTGGGCGTACATTCTGGCGTAGCCGGCCAGAGCAGGCAGGCGGTCCGCCGCGAACGTCAGCTGCCGCACCGAGTACTGCTCGAGAATGGCATGCCACAGGCCCGCGCGGCTCGCCCTGGCGGAGTTCTTCTCGGCCAGGGCGAGGCCGTCCGGCTCCCACGCGTCGCCTGTGAACCTCACGAAGGCCTCGACACAGCTGAGGGATGCGCCCTGGGAGCCGCCGATCTCGAGGGTGCGTGAGGCGAGATGCCGCTCCTGGAACGTCCAGCCGCGCGTGTCGAGGAAGCTGGCTTCCTGGAACTCGGATGCCAGGCACACGGGGACTGTCTCGCCTGCCGGACCGGCCGGGAAGGAGACCACCGCGACGTCGTCGAAGTGGTTCGGGAAGCCGTCGTTGGCGGTTCGCGACTGGGCGCCGGCGAGTAGGACTGCGGTGGCGTTGCTGTAGATGTCGCCCATGCGCTCGATCTCGGCGGCCTTGGTGGTGTCGTCGTCCTGGACGATGCACAGAGCGTCGACCCAGAGGTACTGAATGCCCAGGCGCGCTGTCATCTGGGCCGCTTGGGCTATTGTGAGGGGGAGGCGCGCCAGCTCGATTCCCTGCTCTATGTGCGCGGCGCGATTCATCTTAGTGGTGAGTATCTTCTGTGGGCCGCCCCAGCAGTAGCTGAGGGCGATGTACTCTCCAACATGTTGGTGACCTGGGACATAGAGGTGGATTCTTCCATCCAGATCAAGTGACGAGACATCTAAGACCATGGTTGGGAGAACAGAGATGTCCCTGAGCCGACATTGGCGGTGATGCCGGCGACACCCGCGCACCATATCCATGACAGGGTTTGCAAAGCAATCCTGCTTCCAATACTCCATTGACGTATAGAACCCGCCGAATCTGCGCCAGTGCCGCACCACTCAATGGGTCAGTCTCGCACGCCCGTGGAGAAACGGGGTCAAGGTACATACATTCGCAGCTTGTTGAGTCAAGACCAAGTGCGCGCATTGCAGCCTCTAAACACATACGTCTGTCAAAATAACAAGATCTGTGACAGACACAACAGGGTGCGCCTACCGGGGATGGAATACCATGCCAGTGTAGCTGACACGGATGTCTCGACGGTTCCATCATACAGGTAGCAGAGCATGGACGAGGGCGCGGTCGTGTCATCCGCGACAAACACGTCACCAGTCTCAGACCCGGAATCGTCTCCATCTTCGGCATCCAGTTCCCGGAACATCAGCAGGAGTCGGACCTCTCCTCTCTGCAGGTCCGCGGTTTGGTCCATCGCCACGGCCGACGCGGTTAGCATCTTGGCGATGAGGCGACAGAGCGAGCAATTGCGTTCCAGATCGGAAAATGGGCAGAGGGCAGTTGGCTGCTCGCCGGCGAGCTGGGCCACCGACTCTCTCGTCCTGAAAAGCCGCTCGCATCGGCAGCAGAGGGCCGCTGTCATGTGGAGTTGTGGGGATGGAGGCGAGCACTTGGGAATACGAAGCGGATCCATTCTCGTCCTTCCTCAAGGTCGCCGTCAATTAACTAACACGCCTCATGCGAGGTCTATCACAGCCTAGTAGGCCGAGATTTTTTCAACCAGCCGCCGGCGAGCGCAGGGTAAGCTGACGTCATTCCATAGAAGTGGTTCAGCCCGACAAGGATTGGGCATACCTACATACCTACGGATCCGTACATACCTACATACCCCGCGACCCTTGTCAGCCGCACGTCTTTTCAGCCCCAAGCTTGCTCAACTTCTTGTGCTATAATTATGCCTCAACACCAGAGGGGAACGATTCTAGGACGCAACCAACTCCTATACCTATCACCACTCAGGCATAATAGGGATTTGCTGTTTTCCTAGACCACAACTAATACTTTGAGATGTCATGTAAGTGCTTTGAATCCTAAAGACTAGTAAAGCATACGTGTATAATCTGACATGCCATTTGATTGTAGTCAATCATTACCGGATCAAGCGAGAGGCCCATACCCTAAGTCGGCAACACACCAGCTGGAGCCCTTTCACCCACAGATGGCGCCTTGCGCCGAGACGGGAAACAGGGGGTGAGGGCATTCTTGAGGCACAATCCGGGGAAGATGGTGGTGACGAAATTCAACATGCCCACACTTCACCCGATTCGTTAGCCTTTTGCAGCCTGGATCAGGAAGAGAGTGGCGATGCCGTACTTGCGCCTCAGCCGTCGGCCACACAAGCTGATGGTCTGCGGAATCGGCGAGAAACCGGAAGTGACACAGTAAATGAGACCGCGACCACCGCCACGGGAGGAGAGCTACAAAAGCAGCATTGGGGGTTCAAAACTGTCCAACCGAAAGTGCCGTTCACCATTGCAAACCAGATTCAGCGCATCTTCCAACAGTCCAGCGTCATCAGTCTGCTTCTGCTATGTTGTCCGGTTGGGTTCATCTTGAACTATACCAGGGGGAGATCGGCCGAAACCTTCGCCCTTAATTTTGTCAGCACTATTCCTCTCAATTTTATTGGCGACTTCGCCATGACCGAGGTTGGCCTTAGACTGGGAGAGACTACTGCGGACTTGCTGTGCGTGTCAACGAGGTAATTATAGTTTCGCTCCTGGCAAGAGAACATTTGTAAGTCGAACGCGGCTAATCAGATCTAGCAACCTTGTACAATTCATATCCTGCATTGTCCTGCTACGCACCAACCAAATCACCATCCTCAAAACTTCGCTCGTGGGTAGCATTCTCGCAAACATCCTATTCTTCATGGGATTAAGTGTAATTTGCGGTAGCTTCTCGAGGAAGTACCAGTATTTCAACCGTACCGCGGCCCACATGTCCTCCAACCTACTCTCGCTGGCATCAACTAGCTTGCTGATTCCAACGGCGTCTCGACTCCTGTCACAAGCATCTCCGCAGGATCTCGTCAAACAATCGAGAGCTGCATCTTTCGTTCTTATCCTTGTCTACGTCCTATACGTGTTCTGCGAGCATTGGACGCATAAGGATATCTATAGCGAAGAGGCCCAGAAAGTGCCAGCTCGAAAACGTGCTAGGCCACTCAAGGATGGGGCAGTCACACTAGGCCTTGTAAACCCCGTTGGCCTAATTGCTGCACATGGTGTTGGAGGCGAAGAAAGACGGCGCCGCGAGATGCTGCAATACTCAGGCGGTCGCGAAGAAGTTGAAGACGACGGACCACAACTTCACTTTGGAGTTGCTGTTGCCACTTTCCTCATCACCACGGCCCTGCTCTACTTCAATATCGACTTCTCTGTCAACAGTATCGATGCTCTCACTACCGATGCCAACCTGTCGAAGACGTTCGTTGGCTTGATCCTTTTCCCCCTGTCAAACTGCGACTATGTTCCGATTCAGCTGGCCATGAAGGACAAGCTAAGTCATACAGTCACAAGTACGGTTGGCAAAAGCATCCAGACTGCGCTCCTAGTTACTCCTGGGGTCATTCTTCTTGCTTGGTGCCTTGGGGTTGATGAGGTGACGCTAGTCTTCGACGGCTTCGAGGTTGTCAGCCTCTTTACAACGGTCTTGCTGTTGAATTTTCTCATTGTAGATGCAAAGGTCCACTGGTGAGTCTTGTTTTCTAGGAATGTCACTCTAAGAATTGTCTAACATGAAGTGTTACTAATTAGCTACAGGATCCAAGGCGTCTTATTGCTGGCCGACTGGACCCTTATTGCGGTTGCAGCATTCTTTGTCCATGGAGAAGCAGAGCGATCATGATGAAATACTAGGATAGTATGAATCTTAGCTGGAAAAGCGCTCGATGCTAAACGCCTGTCCTGTGTTTCCAAAGCAGACGGTTTTAGCTTTACTAATCAGGTGAAAGAGGCTTGACAAGTCGCAAGGAAAATCCAATTATGGCCCAGACTACTGTCTACTTTATTTGAGGAAAGATGAACAGAAAAGGGGGAAGTAAAACTCGTATCAACAATTTAACGTGAGTTAACCCACTCAGGGATGAATGTATCTAAAGCTGCTTTTCGCAGTGAAGAGAGCTCTTCCCACAGATCCGAGGAAGAGCTACAGGGGCACGTGGTCTGCTACATTTCCACCCTCACGAAAACTGAAAGCTCGCCTACCAAGGCGGCCGAGGGCAAAGATACCAAGGCATTCCTAGACCTCATTCTAAAGGAATTGATGGTAGTTCTCAAGAAGCAGCGTTGATGAAGTTGCACAGTTACGCCAACGGATACTTGCATCCCCAGGTCTGACCAGGCGGCCCAGAAGCGTACGCCACGCATCAATTCTGTGGCTGCCGACGCGGGTCAATTCAACTGTGGCTCAACAATAAGCTGGCGCATTTGGCTCGCGAGTAATAACATTTCCGGTAGAGCGTATGGCGACTGCCGCAGACCCCTTATACGATTGCAGCCATCTTGTTAGTGGGCTACATACCCGCGATAGTTGAATGAGAATCCTCCCAGGAGGCTTCTCAAAAAATACTTCCCGCAAAGAGTGGAGGGAGGATGGGAGGGGTCGGGTCAAGAGGTTGGGGAGTGTCCTCCCAAGAGGGGGTCGCTACTAGGAGGTATCCTGCTCAGATTAGGAGTCTCTTAGGATAGGTGTGAAAGATAAACGAGCGGAATAGGCCCTGGTCAGACTTCTGGAGGGAGCTTCCAGCTACCCTGAAGTACTTAGTGGCTATCTATGACGACACCCTTGTGACCAGCCCACCTCTATAAAGCCGACTTCGTCGTTTCATGACCGACAAGGAATATCATAGAATGTTGATCTCCCAGATCCAGGCTTTCCAGATATCCAAAATGCTCCATCTCCTGCACCGCTTGAAGTTTAGGTCCTCTTATGCACGCCAATCAGGACAAGGTTGATATGGGTATCAAAGGAGGTTTCTTCCAAGCCCGCGCTTCTGAACGTATACCAACGGTTGTCCATTTCTGCGAATACATCACTGTCCTGGTGGTCTGCTATGGCCAATCCTGGGTCTCTCTTCCGTAACTGACGCGATGCATTAGGGTAACTGTCTGCTGCAAGGTCTGAAGTACTGGAATGAGACGCTGCTGGATGGGCAACCGGAAACACCTTATCTGTTATTGACTTCGTCACAGACTCAGTGCTGGATTGAAGATCAGCCGTGGACGTAACGTGCAGATCATGTACCGCTGTTGCGTTCCAGAAAAGAGGCCTGTTGCTCTCACGGCCAAAAATCGCCAGGAAGTGGACTCCAAAGGCAGCGGAGAGGCCATGGCTTCTATTTGGCGGGACACCAAGTAACAGGATTCCGTGGTATAGGTACTCGCCGGCCTCCGCCAGATTGAATATGAGGGCATCCTTCTGATCAATGGCGGGATAACTTCCCATTACTTCTATCCAAGGCGATCGGCTTGCGAAAACCGGCAGTAGTCCGACTTGCCTATGGGGATTGGCCGTATCAGATCCGAGGTGTGTTTTCCGAAAGTAATGCCTCTCGGGGGAAGGTTCGTCAAGATGTCGAAGGGAAGTTTCCGACGGTGCGCCCGTGTACATGCGACAGCGAGATGGATCAAGCGCCGTGACGATGGTCGAGGTGGGAAAAGAGGACCTTGAGAACCCCTGCGATGAACGATCCCTCACCAGCGGCATCCAGACAGACTCCGAAGTTCGTCGAGATAACGTAAGAGCCGCGGAGTTGAGAGGGGCAAACACGAACCAGCGGCTCAGCGTTCCAAGCAGTGGCCGGTGTATGAATGTGCCCGTGTTGGCGGTGAAGATTCGCTTACTCGCAAGGAGCTCGCCGCTCTTTTTCAGTATCACGTTCCTTGCCGAGAAGAATTGGGATGGGCTGTCAGCCAAGGGTGGTAGCTTCCAGTGGATAAAGTGATTTCGGACAAATGTCTGAGAACGGTCGCTCTTCCAGGCCAGGAAGCTCAGATCCTCCGTGTGCTTGATGATCTCTTGTTGCAACCGAATAAACGCCTTCTCACCTTCCCCATAAAGGAGTGGCATGTTGATTCCAAAGAGTCCCATAAGGCAGTAGGCCCGGTCCTCAATCCTGGTGGTCTGCCGCCACGCCGCCCAAGACATCTTTTGCGCGATGGACGTCTGCTCCCGAATTCTGGACCAGCTGCCTGATAGGCAGTTCTCTGGAATTGACGTAATGGTGGCAATGTGTTTTGCAAGGGTGGATTTCGTCCCGAGAAAGGTCCAGTTTTTGGACAGAAACACCACAGACCAAGGCGCGATCAATTCCTGCAACGTCCATCCGCGGCGAAACCACCTGCTTTGGCGGAAGGGACTCGTGCGCTGGGAACACTTGCTGAGCTCGTCATCGCTCATGGGAGGCACGTCGGCCAAGAAGGCATAACAGACTTCAGCTCGTCTGTACCATCCGAACATGGAGTTGATGGCCTCGCTCAACTCAGCCGAGCTGATCTTGTCGATACAGACGGTGTCGGCCCACAACCACTGGCAGGCAGGGTTGTGTTGTCGAGCACGTTCACAGGCTTTGACCACTTTGTCGTAGCCTTCTTTTGATTTTAGGCGCTGAATCTCCTCGGGGATTTGAGTCCAACCCCATCTTGGTGGACTCTGGTTCTGGGCATAGAGCCAGTCTTGAAAAGTAAGCTCCTCGTTCCCCCAAGTGTGAGACAGTATGGCGTATCGGGGAACCTTCTGGCCGGTAAACTCTTCGATCTGGAGCGTCTTGGTATTGATCAGTCGCATCTTGATGATTAGAGCTACCTCTGGTGGGCCGAGAAAGCGCCTTCATTCCCCTTTGCAAATGTTACTGCTAGGTAAGAAGGGATCTGGAAGAGCGGGGTTGTGGGCGGCTATGCACCTCAACACCTAGGTGATGTACTGAAACTGCCGGGCCGGTTCAGTCCGTCCGTCATGCTAGCGTGGCTGACCCTGCGTACCCAGCGCACAGGTCCGCGCAGGGGGGCTGGCCACAGGTAAAGCGGCAGGAGCACCGGCCTGCTCACGAGTTTGGCAATGGTCGAGGGCAAGATTTGGGCAGCATATAGGGCTGTAATAATACTATCCAATGGCTTAAACATCCGACTCTGCCGATGACGAAGAAGTAGCCGGACTGTTAACACAAAGTCACACAGAGTTATCATAAACAAATGGTTCCTCGCCTCTCTCCTTCCGCCACCGATTCGTCGCCTCTAACGGCCCCGGCAACCCTTTAAACAACCACCCCCATTTCCTCAGAAACCCTTCCGACATCTCCCACCCCGTGATGTCCCAGGGCGGCCACCACGCAATGATGCCGCGTCGCTCGATCTCGTCATCGGGAAAGCCCTCGTACAGCCCGCCGACGCAGTCGGCCCAGAGCTCGTCCTCGTCGAAGGTGCCGGCGGCCCGGATCAGGCGGTCTCGTCCCTCGGGACACGGGAACAGGTCGATCCAGTTGCCGTGCGGCACCGATTGTTGAAGGGTGGTGGGCAGCAGTGTTGAAGGGAGTAGTTCGGGCTTGGTGGGGTAGGGGATGACGTGGATAACTTCCTCATCACAGTCGAGTGGCGTGACGAGGATGCCCGAGATTAGAATGTGGTTGGCGGCCAGGGCGCGGAGGGCGTTGAATTGGAGGAGTGTGATCAGGTGGTCTGGACAGAGGGGGAAGAGAATTGTAAACTGCTTTTTTCTAGGTTTATCTGGCAGCAAGGGATTTCTCGCATTATATAGTTGCTTGACACGGGATGCTGGGACGATGGAGACGGATTGCTGCTCAATGTCCCAGCATTCCACCAGCGCTTCTGATTTGATCAGTGTCCCAGTTGCGGCAGTGGATGCTCCGGCTTTCTTTGCCAGGGCTTTGCGTTTTCCTACCGGACTGTTAGTTTCCATAATTGGTTAATTACCCTTTGATTGGACTGGTCCTGACTCCTGATTTGGACGAAAGAGAAAACAAGGCCTTACTTACGGTATGCCCTTGTGTTGAGTCTAGTCTGTGCCCGTCTGCGTGCTGCGGCATCCTTGATCCCAGTCCAGTCGTCTTCCCTGTTTATCGCCTGTACGCGGTTAGAAGTCATGTCGTCTTGGTTATTGAAGGCGGCCTGGTACGTACCTCGGCCAATTGTGGCATCGACGCGAGTTGGATGCATGGTGCTATTGAATTTGCAGGCTGATACGTACTAAACATGATGCTAGCGGACGTTGGAATTGCGGTGATGATGAAATTGGTGATGATGGATGCGAGTTTTTTTTTTCGCGTAGTTTATGCAGCCTGCTCACCATGACGAGTCTGACACTCGGGAACGGAGGAATTAACATGCCCTGCATTCCTTCGCTGAGGCGCAGACAGACAGGGGTTGGCGAAATGGCGCGATATTATTAGTTACTAAAATCCTGGCCTTCGGGCAGGATTACAGTGTCTAGCTTGAGCAGGTCTAGCGTCATGCACCCTGCTCACATTATGGACCAGATCACGAGCTCTAGCAATACAACATGCACCACTTGATTGACAAACGCAATGTTATGATTTCCCGAGGGTGGCTAATTTGGACAGGAGCTAGAGATCCGGCAGTGAGCCCCACGCTTCATGCAGCTGGCTCACTCGCTCAGAATTCTCCTATCGCTCCATCTCTTCAATATGTTCAAGTTGAATGTGACGTGATTGGTCCACGGGCCATGCAGCTTGCTCACGATATCTCGTGCAGCTTGCTCACGTATCTGATGGTCGGTATAACATCCAAGATGCAAGTATCTCGGACATTGTTCATAAGAGCAGTATAAAGATTGTAGCAACACCTTACTTTCGACGCATCTTTTTCATCCAAAACACAGAACTCAATCCAAGACATTGAATTATCTGTTTCTTAATATTACACCTTCACACGTTGGCTCAAGTACTTGTTTTGAACATGACTTTCCACCCCGACACTCTCCCCGATCTCAAGGGCAAAGTCTTCATAGTCACAGGTGGGAATTCAGGCATGTAGGTCTCCCCTCTCCCCTCTCACCACGAAGCCCGAGTCGCTGATCTCACCAAACCACAGAGGCTACTACACCGTCGCCCACCTAGCAGAACATGGCGCCCACGTTTACATGTGCGCCCGATCCGCAGAGAAGGGCACAACAGCCATCGCCAACATCAAGAAAATGCACCCCTCAGCCAACATCGACCTCCTGCAAATGGACCTTATGGACCTCACTACCGTCGTCGCGGCCGCCAGACACTTCCTCACCCTCGAAACAGCTCTGCACGGCCTGGTCAACAACGCAGGCATCATGGCGACGCCCGTCAAAATGTCCAAAGACGGTCACGAGGCCCAGTGGCAGACCAACTACCTCGCGCACTGGGTTTTGACGGAGCACCTGCTTCCTCTGATGTTGCGGACCGCCAAGACGCTTCCTCCCGGCAGCGTGCGCATCGTCAACCTCACTTCATCGGGCCACTTGGGCGCACCCAAGGGCGGCATCAATTTCAAGGACCTATCGCTCAAGGATAGCGGCCCGTGGGCGCGGTACGGACAGAGCAAGCTCGCCAACATTCTGCACACCAAGACCCTGCACAAGACTTACGGCCCCGGCTCTCCCAGTGCGCGGAAGGGGGAGGGCGAGATCTGGGTTTCGTCTGTGCATCCAGGTATGGTTGAGACAAACCTCGCCACGTCGGTGGGCGAGTCGGGGTCGTGGATGATGAGTCTTTTCTCGGTCGTACGCATGTTTGGATTGATATGGCCTGCCGATAAGGGGTCGTGGACCAGTTTGGTCTGTGCGGCGAGTTGGGATATGAAGGCGGAGCAGAGCGGCAAGTATTTCGAAATTTTCGGGCGGTTTGGGGAGCCGTGGTGGCAGAGCGGTGCGGCGAAGGATGGGAAGCTTGCAGAGAGGTTGGAGGAGTGGACTGGGGAGGTCATGAGGAAGGAAGGGTGGGTTCGGTAATGGCGTCAACTGGTTTCGGTCTTTTTCGATTATATCAATAGATTTCTGGTTTTATGTTATTAGCTACTAAAGTCCCGTGCACATACACTGTCCCGCTATTTAATGGTTTGAAGGGTGCAGCACTAGGCTTCGTGACGTGACCGTTCTCCTGATACTGAAGAGCTACGAAGTCGCCTGGGGCAGCCTTTACTGGGCCGAACTGATCGGGATAGTAAAGCGTGCGTTGCCGTGCATTTGCGATCCTGTCGTCAAGGTGTATAATTAATTAGAATATAAAATGTCGGCAGTGTCTCCTGCAAGACTTGCCTCTCCAGAGTTGTTCATAACTACCTGCTAGTAGGCATGTCACGGAAAGTCTCCTCGGTAGCAGGTTGGCGTCACCCCTGTGTGCAAGTAATTATAGATTAGCAGCCATTCCTTCTTTCTCTACAACCTGTGCCTCACCTTCGACGTTGAAGACTGAGTCATTGGGAGCGATGCTGGCACATGCAATTGTGGATCCGACTCGGATGCTGCTGACACTTCCACGCTAAAATTATCGGATGGGGAGGGATGATGACGAAGCTCAATTATAGTACGGATACATCCGTAGATAGATTACTAATACCCGGTTTTTCGCCGAATGACCGGGGCCTTACCCGGAGCATGACAACCTCCTCCCAACCCCGGCTTCGCGACGGAAACTTCGGGTTCCTCTTTCGCCTCGGCATCCATTCTCGCCATGGACTCGGCAAAATGGCGAATTTCCAAGGCCTGCCAGGAGTGTCGAGCCAAGAAGATCAAGTGCAATGGCGAGGAACCTTGCCAGCGGTGCAAGATCCGGGGATTCGAGTGTGTCTACCGGCAAAAGGCCCGGAACCGGATGCGCAAACATCAGCTGGCGACCGTAGCAGGAAGCACATCGCCGCCGAGCGATGAAGGGAAAGCTAGTCTTCCAGCGCCGACGGTGACCAGCAAGAGGACTCAGGGTAGAGACAGCCAACCGTGCGGCGGAGGGAGCCCGAGCATTCACATTCACAGCGTCGCCGCCACTCACCGGGCATCACCGTCGTGCTTTCTTCAGCTGTACTACGGGCCGTCCTCCAATTTCTCAATGCTGCAGTCAATATACCACCAAATTGAAGGCACACGACCGGCATCTGAGTCTAGGGAGGAAGTCGAAGAGGCCGGTCCCGGGCTGGACCTCTTCAGCAACCGAAGGCTGTTCTTCGGCGACCTAGCTGACAGCAAACGATCAGCGGCGTCAGCGTCCAACGACTCGTTAGCCATGTTCCTAGACTCGGCCCTATCTTACCGCCTCATGGAGAGATATCTCTCAACATATTGGCATATTCTCCCCATTTTCCCCAAGGAGGAGTACCGCCGGCGACTCGACGAGCTCACCGCCTCGCGCGGTGTCTTCTCCTTTGAGCGCTCCGAGGACATTGTACTCATGCTCGCTATGGCTCTCGGGGCGTGCATGTTGGATGAGGGGCGAGTTGCCGATTTTTTGTACCACAAGGCGAAACAGGGCGCGGCCACGCTCGACGACCAGGTCAATGTCCAATCGATTCATGTACCACTACTAATGATGAGTGTTTCCTCTGCGCCCCTCTCCGGTCTGCCGCTCGCAGCTGACACCATGGCACGCCCATTTCCAGGCTGAAAGGGCTAGGCCCAACGCGGCGTTTATATCCGCCGGCACTGCAGTCCGGAGAGCCGTCGCGGCCGGGCTGCACAAAGACGTCAGTATTCGGGGCGGTCAAACCCCGGACGACGTTTATCAGAGACGGATCGCGTTCTGGAGCCTGTATTTCTGGGAGACGTGAGCCCGTGGTTCCCCCCCGCCCCAATTGACCGGATGATCGAGGATGCTAATGCTAATGCGCTCCGACAGGTGGATATGCTTCAGCCTCGGCCGCCCAACTTCCATCCCCGAGCCAGACGCCAACATGCCGGAGCCTACCAACGAGGTCTTCCTCCTTTCGTTGGTCAAGCTTGCACGCCTCATGTCCAAGTGCGCAACGCGCATTTACAACCAAAACCACAAATCCCTGCTACCGCTCTGGAATGCCGGGAACGAGATTCGCCGGGAGCTGCTTCAGTTTGCCGAGCAGCAGCGCAAGGACATGCACTTTGGTCTTGTCGGGGACCCCAGTACCGGAGAGCTTGGCGTCTGCCAGACCATAATCTCTACCAGTGAGTCCTCTTTTCGCAGCACCTCCCTTTGTCACCATTCCCATCCCGGCCAAGTCCGTTCGAGGCCTGGACCATGTACTGATAGTTTTAGTGTACCACCACACCCTACTCTTGACGTTCCGGCCATTCCTGGTGCTGCGAGCCAAGCTGAGACACGAAACGGCATCGGCGCGCCGCGACGGCGCCAGCCATCCTACCCCTCCACCATGGCTGGACACGGCGTGCGAATACTGCCTCGACGCCGCCCGGCACTCGATCGGCTTCCTAGCGGGGGCATGCGAGCAGAACGTATACTGCAAGGTAAATCCCCCAAATATTCCTTCCCTCGCCGTCCCTTGCGATAATCTAGTGCGTGTCGCGTGTCGCTGGGTTCCCTATATTGCCTACCATGTAGCTAACTCTTATTGGTTGCCTTTCTCTGTCCTCTAGGAAATCAGGTATCATGGCTTCTTTCTCGAAGGCGCATGCTACGCCCTGGCCTTCGATATGCTCGATAGTAGGGCATCCTGCGAGGTGAACTTCCCGTGGATCAAGACGGGCCTCGGGTGTCTCAAGAACCTTCTGCGGAAGGACAAGGTCTTCCCCGACCAGACACCCGTCGTCATGGCGGCTATCGAGCGCATGCTCCGCTCGGCAATGCCGGACTTCCAGCTTCAATCCCCATTGCAGGAGCCGCTGCCGCTGCCACTGCCGAGCAGCCGAACTGTGCTAATACCACCAACTCCTGCACCCACCAATACTACAACTGCTGCTGCTGCTGCTAGCCCTGCTACTGAGAGCCCCATGATGATGAGCGAGGCGGTGGGTCGCCTGGGCCCGACGTATCTTTACCCGACCATGCCGTTCGGGTTCGACGCTAACGGGCCGCCGCCAGTCGCGGCAACAAGCCCCATTCCATCGGGAGATCAGGTTTTTGACTTGACGATGGAGGACATGGGCTGGAACTATGACTTTGCGACTATGGATATGGAAGCCTTCTTGTCCATAGACGCGAATCAGGACTTGAACTTGGGTACCTAGTTGAATCTTGCCTTGTTCTTTTTAATATATATATATACATATATATTATTTATTTTACTTTTACCACAGGCGTTTAGGGCTGCTATTGCTACAGGGCTTCAGCCCTGCTACAAAACAGGGATTGGAAAGGAAGGGAGGAAGTGGAGAGAAGAGGGCGGATATAGAGTACAAATGTCTGATCCGAATTGAACCTCGTCAGCAATTGTCATATTTTCCTAATCCGTAGAAGACGATTACTAAGGGGGGCCCTGTCGGTCATTGGCCGAGGATGGGTCGGATTTAAGGTCTCCGGATATACGGACACCGGGATATACGGATATACGGATACTCGGAATGTTTGATCTCATCTGTCAAGACTTTTCGCTATATCAGCGTGGTGGTTCTGATACAAAGAAAAGGCGAGAGTACTTTAGACTGGGTGCTGCTGATTCGATAAATAATTATTGAACTTTAATTCAGCTTCATCCTTTGTTTCGTTGCTCGTCTCAGCCCAGATGCATACATCCAAATCCGAGATAACCCTGGCCGACCTGGTTCCGACGCCACCGGAGGGTGATCATACCGCTGGTATCGACGGCCAAAATGATAGGAACGACCAGGGAGTCAATTTCCAGTCACTGAGTGACACGGATGTGGATATAGGGACTCCTGAGCCGAAGGAGGAAAGAGGGCCCAAGGACTTCATCCAAAAGCGACTCACTCTCAGCTTCAACTCCGTGACGGTGCGCGTCGCCGCGCCAGACCAAGCTTTGGGAGAGACTTTGTGGTCGAGAATCGATCCGTCACAGTTGTTGGATATGGTCCGGAGAAGTGGCGGGCACGCGAAAAGGGTATGAGACACTGCTGGAACAACATTCCATTTTTGCTGGACTGTTGACGCTAATTCGGCCAACAAAACTAGACAATCCTGAACGATGTAAGCGGCCAGGTAAGCCCCGGCGAAATGGTATGTGATGACTCACACCCCCCCGAACCGGGGAAATAAATGATTGGAAGGTTATTTTGCTAAAGAATGTAATTAGCTTCTGGTTCTCGGGCGCCCTGGTGCTGGCTGTACATCCCTCCTTCGCGTACTCTCGAACAACAGAGAGGCTTTCGACGAGGTCCAGGGGGAGACAAGATACGGCAGCATGAACCACAAGGAGGCTAAGAAATTTCGCCAACAAATCGTGTTCAACAACGAAGGTGAGGATATCCCAATATCTCAACTTGCGTATTTATCTCGTCGAGTGGGGATCACTGGTGAGAGACGAGTCGCTGACTTATTTTCTATTTCCTAAAGATGATATCCATTTCCCGACCTTGACTGTCAATCAGACCATGAAGTTTGCGGTGCGGAACAAGATTCCAAGGGAACGGCCGGATAATGGCGGGGAAAAGACAACCTTCGTCCAGGACAGGAAGACAGCTATCCTTGACTCACTCGGAATCGGCCACACCAAGAAGACCCTGGTAGGCAACGAGTTCATCCGTGGAGTGTCTGGTGGTGAGAGGAAGCGCATCTCTCTGGCAGAGGTGATGGCAAGCCAGGTAAGCCCGTTCTTTCATTGTGAAACCGTCGCACAACCCTGTCTCATCCCCAATCTGGCTACTGACATGAGCCCAAAAAAGAGCCCTATACAATTCTGGGACCAGCCCACTCGGGGTCTCGACTCCAAGACGGCCCTCGAGTTTGCGGCCACCCTGCGCGACGAGGCCGACCGGAACGGTAAGACCATCATTACCACCACATACCAGGCCGGCAACGGAATCTACGACAAGTTTGACAAGGTCCTCGTCCTCGCCGAGGGGCGCGTCATCTACTATGGCCCCCGTATGGCGGCCAAGACGTATTTCGAGGAGCTGGGCTTCGTCTGCCCCAAGGGTGCCAACATCGCCGATTTCCTCACCTCCGTAACCGTCATGACGGAACGCGTCGTTGCGCCCAGGTTTGAAGGCAAGACACCGACTACGTCGGAGGAGTTCGAGACGGCTTACAAAAACAGCGCCATCTGCCGACGAATGGCCCAAATCTCGACATCTCCAGAGGCTCTGCAGGGAGAGACGGAGGAACTCAAAGCTGCGTCGAACAGGGAGAAAAAGGAGAGGCGCATCGCGGGCGGCCGTAGTGTCTACACCGTCGGCCTCACGGATCAGATTGTGAACTGCACTAGGAGGTAAGAGTGGTCCAACTCATTCACACCTCATTCCAAACCATCACCTTGTTGTTTGCACCTCTTCCTGACATGGTCCTAATTTCTATAACACAGACAGTTCGAAATCATGATGGGTGACCGCATATCCCTCGCGATCAAGGTCATTTCTGCCATCATCCAGGCACTCGTCTGTGGCAGTTTGTTTTACAATCTCCCCCAGACCAGCGAATCCATCTTCCTGCGGCCTGGAGCCATATTCTTCCCTGTTCTTTACTTTCTGCTTGAATCCATGTCAGAGACCACAGCCTCCTTTATGGGGCGCCCCATCCTCGCCCGCCACAAGCGCTTTGGCTACTACCGGCCAACGGCCTTTTGCATCGCCAACGCCATTACGGACATCCCAGTCGTCATGATCCAGGTCTCATGTTTCTCTCTCATCCTCTACTTCATGTCCGCACTTCAAACGGACGCGGGGAAGTTCTTCACCTTCTGGGTCATCGTCAACGCCCTCACCCTGTGTTTCGTCCAGCTTTTCAGAATGGTTGGCGCCCTGTGCAGCCACTTCGGCACGGCCTCTCAGCTGTCCGGACTCTTATCAACCATCTTCTTTATCTACGGAGGTAATTATATATAACCCATGCCTCTGCACATTCGAGCGGAGAGCTCTCGTCGAACAAATGCTATCTTGCTAACATTTTGAATACCAGGCTACCTAATCCCCTTTGAGAAGATGCACCCCTGGTTCCGCTGGATCTTCTATCTCAACCCTGGCGCCTACGCCTTCGAGGCCTTGATGGCCAACGAATTCGGCGGGCTCGGCTTGCAATGTGTCTCTCCGCAGTACGTCCCATACGGCGGCAGCTACGACAACCAAACTGCCAACTACAGGGGCTGCACCGTCCTGGGGGCCGATTCCATGGGGATGATCGACGGCGCAACCTACATCCGAGATCAGTACTCCTATTCAACTGGTCACATCTGGCGGGGGTTCGGTGTGCTGATCGGATTTTGGATCTTCTTCCTGGGCGTCACCGCTCTAGGATTCGAGCTCCGTGACAACCAGGGCGGGTCTTCGGTTCTCCTCTATAAAAGGAGCCTCTGGAACAAGAAGCGGGAACTGGATCCGGAGGCGCAGTCAGTCTCCCTTAAGAGAGAGAGAGAAAATACCCAACCGTTGCCGGACTCCCAAACCGTGAAGCAGTCGACCTTTACCTGGCACGACCTCGATTACTATGTCAAGTCACATGGCGAGAAGAAGCAGCTTCTGGACAAGATCTTTGGATTCGTGCAGCCGGGCAACCTCACCGCGCTGATGGGAAGCTCCGGGGCCGGAAAGACAACGTATGTGATTCCAGAACCCACTCCCAATGCCATAGAAAAGCTGAATGCTTTGTTTTTGCTAACGATAACACCGCCCCAGTCTTCTCGACGTGCTAGCCCAGCGCAAGGATGCCGGTGAGATCTACGGATCGATCCTCATCGACGGAAAGCCACAGGGCATCAGCTTCCAACGGATGACGGGCTACTGCGAGCAGATGGACGTTCACGAGGCGACTGCCACCGTGAAGGAAGCCCTGGTCTTTTCGGCACTACTCCGCCAGCCGAGAGACGTTCCGCGTTTGGAGAAGATCGCTTATGTCGATCATATTGTGGATCTTCTAGAGCTTCACGATATTTGCGATGCTTTGATCGGAGGTGCGTATCGATTGACAGTGTATTTCTTCTTTTCTTCCTCGAGGGACACTATGGCTGACTGGAAGAATGATGTAGTTCCGGGCGCTGGACTCAGTATTGAGCAGCGCAAGCGTGTCACCCTGGGTGTCGAGCTTGTTGCGAAACCAACCCTGTTATTCTTAGATGAGCCTACCTCTGGACTCGACGGTCAATCTGCGTACAACATCGTTCGCTTCATGAGGAGGTTGGTCGACGGCGGCCAAGCTGTGCTGGTGAGTCTCTGGGATCAAGATCGGACTTCCTTGGTATTTTGTTCCTTATTCTAACGTTGTCCAGTGCACGATCCACCAACCGTCTGCAGTTTTGTTCGAGGCATTCGACTCCCTCCTTCTTCTCGCCAAGGGTGGCAAGATGGCCTACTTTGGACAGAGTAAGCCATTCATCCCCATTTTCCCCTCTTATGTTTACCTGGCATGGTCGCCGGACAGTTCTGACCATAATCGACTGCAGCCGGAAATAATTCTGCCCAAGTCCTAGACTACTTCTCTCGCAACGGAGCGCCCTGCCCCGACGACGTTAACCCGGCTGAGCACATAGTCGAGGTCATCCAGGGTAACACAGACGTCAAGATCGACTGGGTCGACATCTGGGGCAAATCTCCCGAGCGCCAGCAGGCTCTTGACAAGCTTCAGGCCCTGAATGCCAAGGCCGTGGCACGGGGTGACGCCGAGGACGACACAGCCGACTTTGCCTCTACCAAGTGGTTCCAGTTCACGATGGTGCTGCACCGGCTAATGATCCAGTTGTGGCGTTCGCCTGACTACGTGTGGAACAAGATCAACCTGCACATATTCGCCGCGCTTTTCAGCGGCTTCACCTTCTGGATGATTGGAGACGGCTCGTTCGACCTGCAGCTCCGACTGTTTGCCATCTTCAACTTCATCTTTGTCGCGCCCGGGTGCATCAACCAAATGCAGCCGTTTTTCCTACACAACCGCGACCTGTTCGAGACTCGCGAGAAGAAGGTAATTATTCTTGGTCGAGCCATTTTTGTTCCTTGATATGACGAATCCGACACTGACCTACCATTCTCGCGTAGTCTAAAACCTACCATTGGATTGCTTTTATCGGCGCCCAAGCCGTGTCAGAGATACCCTATTTGATCATCTGTGCGACGCTGTACTTTTCCTGCTGGTACTTCACCGCCGGATTCCCCATAGAGGCCCGGATTTCCGGACACATATACCTCCAGATGATCTGTAAGCGTTTTGCTTTGTTACTTTCCTCTCCGTCCATCTATAATTACCATTGACTAACCACTCTCCCATGCCCTCAGTCTACGAATTCCTCTACACTTCCATCGGCCAGGCCATCGCCGCCTACGCGCCGAACGAGTACGGCGCCGCGATCATGAACCCCGTCCTGATCGGGGCCGGACTAGTGTCCTTCTGCGGAGTCGTTGTCCCCTACAGCTCCATGCAGCCCTTTTGGCGGTACTGGCTGTACTACCTCGACCCTTTCAACTACCTCGTCGGCGGCCTCCTCGGCACCGTCATCTGGGATGTCCAGGTCACCTGCAGTGCCGCCGAATTCACCTCATTCGAGCCGCCCGCCGGCCAGACCTGCGGCCAATATATGGCAGACTTCCTGCAGTCAAGTGCGGGATATGTCGATAACCTCAACGCCACGTCCGGGTGCAGGTACTGTCCCTTCGCGACCGGGGCTGAGTACGCTAAGACGTTCAACTTGTCAGAGGAGTACTATGCTTGGAGAGACGTAAGTGCTAGCCCCGTCTCTAATTTGCATGTCGCAGACTAGAAGCTTACTAGGTGATGATTTATTATAGACTGGTATTACAGCACTGTTCTGTGTTTCCTCGTACGCCCTCGTGTTTTTCATGATGAAGCTGAGGAGCAAGAAGACAAAGAGCGCGAGGTTAGAGTAAGCCTAATATGGGAATTCGCTTTCAGCCGTTCCCTAATTAGAGCTTGTCTCTCTCTGTCAGGAAGACAGCTTCCAGCAACGGCGAAGAAGTGCCATCTGTGCTATAAATCTACCCTGCAGGAGGGATATTATACAAATCAGACTCAAATAGCACAGTACTTCACGGTCCTAGGCCGAAGCAAACTGTGGCCTTTGGTAGGGCCATTCCAGAAATGCACTATATCGGAGCTTGCGAATCGTTTCGCTCATGCGAAAGAAGACTAGCAACACCGGTGCAATGCCAGAGTAGATTACCCACTGGCAAGGGCACTTAAGGGGCTATATAAGAGGGTGGACCAGCTTGTGAAAAACATAAGAGGGTTTCCTTTGGATTTCGACGGCAATTGCATGTAATACAGCAGGCTGCTTCAAGGTAGTTCACGCAAGGGCAGCGGGGTTGCGGTTTGAAGACTCCCTGCTTTGTATCAACGCTCGTGCTGGTTGGAATAGCAGGCTGGAATAGCAGAGTTGTGCTAGCGATAATAGTTATAAAAATAACAGGAATAGTAGCCACAATCGCACCAACCACAAGACAAAGGGCAGTTTTCCATCCAGCAAAGTGATACCCTAGCTAAGGTTGACGTGAGTCATAGCTAGGTGATTGGCAGCTTCCTGTGTCTTCCGCTCGATAAAGACAACTTGAATTACCAAGCCAACCTCTTTCTCGTCTCCCTAGATAGTGACTCAAAATCTTCATTGTCTGGTAGTGAGGTGTTTCTTCAAGTTGAGGGCCCCAGACGCATGAATCAGAGATTCCCTGTCCCCCCAACCTTGTCGACACCGGAGAGATTAAGGGTCACATTGAGCATAACGCCAGCGTGGACGGTTGTCAGCTTGTCTATGCCCTGCTCAATCTCCCACAGCCGCCGTGCTTCAGCCAAGAATTTATAGCTGAGGCTAAAGGGATTCAAAAGCTTGGCTCAATCAGGCCACGCCGCTTCATAAAACTAGCACTGTGACAGCTTGTCAGCACCTTGACGTGACCATAGGGTAGCCGCAATAACTTGTCCTTACATAGGCAAAGGCAAGAACAGTGTTGATATAGAAAGCAAAGCTTGTGGCGCATCTTAACCATATCCTCAGATGTATAACCAGATGCACACCTAGATGCACACCCAGATCCTGGGTTGAGGCCAAACCTTGGTTAACCCTAAATGGCACACCCGGATGTATAACATAGATCCTGGTTCAGGGCAGTCAGAAACACCACGCGTGATTGAAGAAATGTGGATTTGTTCAAGCGATGCCAACTCAGCTAATGCCAACTCTGCTACTATACAGCTCCACAGGATAAAATCCCTTAAGTAGAGCACGGAGAATACTTTTCTGTGGAGACAGATTGTGTAGGTGAAGAAAAAAGTTTCTTTTACACCCTTGTTCACCGAAAAGATCATCTTAAGGGCAGGTCTGAGTCCCCCTTCCTGGCTTAGCGACTACTTGCCATCTGAATCCACATGAGACCAGTGGCTATAAAACCAGCCAGAGAACCTGCCGCCGTCCATGCTGTTCCCCAGTCTCCATACAGAAATCTTGATGCCATAACCACCAAAAAAAACAGTGTCGCAAGAACTGGAAACACCATCGACTTGGAGTTAAAAGTCCAGCCCTCTGTAAATAGGAGTGCCTCCCACTCAACGGCCGAAAGCCCCGCATCCTCGCATCGCAGAAGTTGCTGCTCAATGTCCCTACAAAGTTGATGATTTCGTCAGCACATACCTGCACGACGCTTGAGGGCGTCCAGAGCTCAAGAGACCGGTGATGCTAAGAAATATAAGCTAATGGTCATACCTCTCCATGTAGAATAGCTTCCAGGGCAGGAATACACACGAGTTGGTAACGGCAGATTTCGGATCCTGGAGGAGTTTAGCATAGCGTGAGATCATTTGGAGCTCCCCTATCTCCACGCATCTGCAGAAATGAGCTAACGCCTCACAGCAGACACCACGGCCATCATCCCAGTGGGGACATCTATCCACAAAGATTCCGTCGGGACCATAGCTGCAGACAGAATTGCCGTCGGGATCCCAACTGCTGGTAATGTCAAGAATGTTTGTCGCGAGGTTCTCTTCTTGTAACAACCTCACTTTGGATGTGACGTCCAAAATCTGGTAAGCTATGTCCAAACCGTCGTCTGGTTTGAGAGGAAGCCCTTGAATATAGATCTACGCACTTGCACATCAGCTTCGGCTCTTTCGCCCCAGGGGTGCTCACAGGTGCCCTACTCTTACTCTTTCAATCTTCTTCACACCAAACCCCAGAGCATGTAGGAGTTGTCTCAGCCGTTTACCGCCTCTCTTTGCGTACCAGGCATCCCGCAATTGCCGCCACTGCGTCTCTGCGTCAAATGCTTCGAGAAGCACAGGGAAGGCAGTGCCCTGGCCGCCGTTACCGTAGCACAGCAACACCCATCTGTTGTCCTCCGCAGCAAACACAAATCCAGAGTTTCCCTCCGCAGCAAACACACATCCAGAGTTTCCCTCCTGTTCTTGGGAAGATGTTTTCATCCCAAAGGCCTGGAAAAAGGCCTCCCGAGGAAGTGGGCGTCGTGGTCCACCTTTCGTCGATATAGCCCGTGTTGGCTCCGATTCTTCACCGGTGCTCTGGCTGGGTGGAGAAGTTTCCCGCCATTGTCTCCGCATATCGGGGGTCCAAGACGGTTGGTTGGAGCTTGCCGATGCTAGATTTGCCTCGACGTCCTCACTCTCCAGCGTCGGTAGGCGCCGGGAATGTAGATGAATGGGGCGAGGAAGGGGAATGCGTTTAGACTCCATCTTAAGCGATAACAAAAGATGCAACACGCAACTGGAATAGTGGCTAATTTGTGAAAAAGCCTTGACGCGGTTACGGAGGGGAAGCGGCCCGTGCGGAAGCCTTGAGACCGACTAGCAAGCCGCAGGTGAAGATCTGTGCTATTGGAAAGCGCGCAGGGAGCATTCGCGGATTGACAAGCTAGCTAATTGTATTGTTGCATGTCCACGTGTCGAGCGATTTCGTGTCGAGGCTATGGATAGCGTTAATGTTGATGTTTGTGTCTACTCTAATGTTAGAAGCGGCTGTGCCCCCCGCGCTAGAAAAGGTTGCAGCCTAACGCAAGGAAGGTTTAAGGCAGCAGCTAACCCTAATTAACGCAGAATGTAACGCGGCGTGGGCATTGAGGCGGTGAGGCGCGCGTGGTTATATAAGCGAATAGATGCGCAGCAATCTACTATTAAGTAGATTGGCATAATCTTTTGAATTGTTGGTAAAGTGGTTGTAACGGGTCGCAGGACCTGGGTTGGCAGCGGGACGGAGGCATGGGGGTGATTAGTCTGACTAACTTATACGAGGTGGCTAATGGCGCGTTAGCAGAGGGCTACTTCAATAGCAATCTTGTGAAATTGTATGAAGTAAAAGTGGTGATTATATTTGGTGGTTTCTATGCAGAGGGCGCGTAGGCTTTGACTAACCTGCGCTAGCGCATAGGCTAGGTCACAGGCTACCAGAGCCACTTTAAGCCCTACCCTCACTGTCTATTTATAGCTAGTAGAAACCATCCTTTCTACTCTACCAAGCCTTACGCATCAATATGCTAGGCTTGAAAAAGGATCTACTTGCCTTTAGGTGTCACATGGCAATGCTGCTATTGGTAGAAGCCTAATTGGCTTAACTAGTCAGGCTACTACTACTAAAAAATCTAGAGATTATCTAATTGTATAAATATTGTAAATCTAGACGCCTTTAAACAATTCAAAAGGCTAGATTCTACAGCGCTAAAATTGTCAATTTCCTAAGATTAATTCTAATACAACAGATTAACCTTTTTTTAATCCTAGAACTAACAGGATATGTAATTGGCTTAAATAAGTCATGTGCTAATGTTAAATTGACTGCCAATGTCTTTGTAAGTTAGGCCTGTTATATGCAATAGCTTGATTGCTATACATGCAGCTTAGTAGCTAGCTTTGCTTGTAACAGGTCGCAAGACCTAGGTTGGCAGCAGGACAGAAGCATAGGGGTGATTAGTCTGACTAACTTATACGAGGTGGCTAATTGGCACAGGTTTCGAGAGAGAAAGCAGTTGCGACAGTATCGCTAGCAAATTAGGTAGGAAACTGTCTTAAGTAGCTTCTCAGCCAGAACGTATATTAAAGCCTGCCCTTGTAAACCTTTAGGCAGGTCTATCACAGTCTTTAACTTAGGGCTGCCTAGCAGTCTCTACGCAGGCCTCTTGCAGAGACCTCGTAAGACTGTCGACTAGGCTAGCTAGACCTTCTTACCCTGCGGGGTAGGACTATACTAATTACAGGGCCTACCTCCAAATACAGCTGAGCTGTGTAGTAGCTATCCAAAGAAAACGCCATACAAATTGCAGACCTATAATTGAAGACAGGGGGTAGCTGCTGTAGAGAAAAGGAGAGTAGCTGCCAAAGACTTTTTCTTGGCCAAAATAAACAAAAGTAGTATGCTTTTAATTAGCAAATTGAGAAAAATCTAGCTATAAAACTTTTAGTTTCCTAAGCAGCAAGTGCAAAGAGGTAAAGCTATATTAGAATTGTAAGCGTTAGGGTTAGGATAGGTTAAAGCAAGATTGCAACAGACTAGAGTTAAAGACTAACGACTAGTTAGAGCAGCCATTTGGTGCAAAGGTAGTATAATAGAAGTAAACAAAAAAGTAAAAAGGGGTTGAGATTCTAAAGTTAAGTAGAATAGTTTAAAGCATTAAGATATTGTTAGGTTAGCAAGAAATTATAAAGCTATTTAACTGCTTGCCTAAATACTTATTTGTTATTTGCACAAAATGCAAGGTTAGATGTTATGCAGGTGAGGCTAGAACTTATTTGCGTAGAAAGCATAATTATATAAACGCAAGGCAGCAAGTAAAAGTCATGAAGGCAGTGGAGAGATTGGAAGGTATTATGCAAAACCAGGATAAGTTGCAGACATTTCAGTTCTTGCCACTAACAGTTAACCCAATCCTATTCATTGCATTGCCTAAGTCTAACAGGTTGCAATGCGATAAGTGTAGGTTTGTTATGCAAGGCAAATAGTAGATAAGAGATTATTGTAAGAAAAAGCATAGATAGAAGAGCAGATAGGTTAAAGGCAGCAATGTAGTAAAAAAGGCAAAACAAAAGCAGGCAGTGCTATAGACAATAGGCATGCATTGCCAGTGGTTTTTCCAGTTGCGCGTGGCAAGTAGGTAGTTTGAGGTTAGCTAAGGCAGCAAGCTAGCAATGGTAGCAGAGGTAGGTGCAGAGACATTAAAAAAGCAGCTGACACAAATCTATGCAACCTAGACAGCACAGTTTAAGTCAAAAAGGCAGTTGATTAAGGCAGGCAACAAGAAAGCCAAGCTAAACAGGTAGTTAGACTATATTAGTTAGCCAATGCATTTAAAAGGTTTAGACTTAGCCTAGTTGCGCAGCATAGTTAAGCCAATTGGCAAGGACAAGGTAGTATTGCAGTAGATATAGGAAAGCATAAAGTAAGTAATAAAGTAGGCAAAAGAAGCAATAGTAAAGCAGCATAGGCATGCAATGTTGTTTGAGATTAACAAAAAGAAGGTATATGTCAAGCAAAAAAAGCCATTTGACAAGTAGATAGAAGAGAATATGTAGGCAGATTACAAAGAAATATACTGCAAGTTATTATATTACATGCAGCAGACATAGGAATAAGATAATAGAAACTAGTTGCTATATGCATTTACTAAAAAGCAAGGTAATTTGTTTGACAAGTTTTGCAAGGCAGTAGAGAAGCATATGTAGGTAGAGAGTATAATGCTATTAGATAAGGTAAAGCAGTAAGAGTGTAAGGACTAGGCAGACTAGTTATGTTTAGATATAACAGTTGCATTTTTCAACTATCAATACAAGCATATGCTATACAAGAATGCATTAATTAGCAAGTTAGTAATGTTAGAATTGCGCAATGATAATGGTTAGTACAAGCTAAAGAATTACACGCTAAAGTATTTGGCAGTTATTAAGGTAGCGCAAATGTTAGTTATGTATTAGTTGATAGTTAAGTAGCAAGATAAGGTAGCAGCATTAGAGAAGACAATAAGTGCAAAAAAGGCATAAAAGGCAGCAACTAGGTTGTTTAAAATCACCTAGCTAAAGGTTAAGCAGTTTATAACAGTTATGTTAGACAAGTCTAAGCTAGGCCTAATAGATTAGATATTTGATTCGCGTATATATAAAATGCAAGTCTAGTTTACAATGCTAGCAGCAAGGATAGTTAATTAGGTTAGAGATTAGATTATATACTAGCAGATAAAGATTGAGACAAATAATTTGGCAAATATATTGCACAAGATGGTTAAGGAGGTAAAGGCTAAATTAGGCAAGCTATTAATAGTAAAAGGCAATAATTTTAGGTTAATGCTAGCGATTAAGTAAAGGTAGATAGAAGATAACTATAGCAAAGACTAGGTTGGATATTTATTTTTGCAAGACAATTGCAACAAGTAGTTAGCAAAAGGTTAAGGTTAGATAATGCAGCAGATTTTGCAGCAGGTAGACAAGCAAAAAAAGTAGATAGCAGTAAAAGGTAGCAACAAAATGCTGTATTAGGCTAAAGCAGTATGCAAGTATAGATTGGCAATAAAGTAGTTTTAGAAAAGGTTATTGCAATTGATGCATATGTTAGAAAAGATACTAGCATAGTTGTAAGAGATTATAGAAATACAGCACTGCAATATAGTATATAGCAAGATGCACAACATATTAATAGACTAAAGCATGGCAAGTTTTATAGTATTATATCACAAGAATTACCATAGCATAAGCAAAGTCAAGGTTATATACTAGTACTTGCTACGCAAGATAGGCAAGTTGTTAGTGTAGTATTTGTAGTTAGTGTTGCTATTTTAGCAGCAGGTGTAGAAGATAGTCAAAAAGGCAGACAAGCCAAGTGCGTTTTTGTAGGCAGACAAGATTGTAAAGCGCAAGGATAAGGCTATTGGAAAGGCAGAAGTTAAAGTAGAAAAAGGCAAGGTTAGAGACAAGAGAAAGGCAAAGGATAAGGTTATACAGGCAGCGTAAATCTAAAAGCAAAAGTAGATACTAAACTAAATGCAGCAGATTATGCAGCAGCATAGCAGGCAGTATCTAAAAGCATAGGTTAGCATAAGCATGTAGAAATATATTGCAATTGCAATTTTAAACTAGTATTTAAACAAGGCGTTTGGAAAAGATATAGGCAAGGATAGCAAGTTTGACAAAGACAATAAAGGCATATTAGATAGCATTTAGGATTTGCAAGCTAGATATAGCATGCATATAGCAGGGATAATATATATGCAAAAGTTGCAGCAAGAGGCGTTTGAGACAATTGCATAGCAAGATTAATTCTAGGCAATTAGCTAAAAGTAGCATCGATTTTTCAGGTTTGGCGCAAAGGATAGGATTGCAGGGTTAAGGTTAGGGAGAAAACAAAAGCTAGACATGTTTGACAGTATGCAAAAGGAGGCATAGTTCTAGCAGTTTACGCAGTTGCAGCAAGTAGATATAGAAGGTTAGTTAAGGGTTATAATAGGAAAGGAGGCACAATTCTGCAACATGCAAAAGAGGATAATCTAGGCAATTATCTAAGAAAAGAGTCTGATTATGCAGGTAGCAAGGATAGAGAAAGGTAAAAGCATGTTGTTTATATTGCTAGCATTTTGTTTGCTAGAAAGAGTAACAATTATAGTAGTGCTGTTAGTAGCATTGCAAAAGGATTTGCATAGGCAGTGCAAGTTATGCAAGATCAATTCACATGTTTGGCAAAGCTAAGAGGCAAACCAAGCAGCGTTAATTATATTTGTAATGCTAGAGTTAGCAGTAACAAAAGGTTTCTAGTTATTTGTTAACTAGTTGCAAGCGTAGAGGTAGTTAGACTAGGTTTTTGTAAACAAGTGTTACATAATATTAGATAGCAATAGGATATTCTAGCTATAGTTAGGCAAGTTAGGCAAAATGTTGTGAAAGATAAAAGTATAGGTAGTGTTTTTGACAGCAACATTAGCATTAGCAAATGTTAGAAAGTTTTTTGCAA